TATGAAAATAGTTTTGCCCCACCAAAGATCTCACACTGAAAAAACAAACAAATCCAAAATACAAATAACACTATATTTAAGAAGTTGTCGACGTATGAAAAATCAATCCACAGAATTGATAATAACTTTTCGTTTTTAATTATTTTCGACTGTTACTTAGTTTTTGGATTTTTTTTTAAAGCGGTTCATGGACCACTATAGAGTTTTTTGCGGAGTATTCTTTTATGCGGTTGCAAAGTTTTCATTTCAGTTAAAAAATTGGCCAATTACTGAGCTTGTAGATTATAACGACTCTTCATATAAATTATTTTCATAATTTTAAGCAGGATTTAATATTTTCTCATTTAGTCAATTATAACAATCATGTAATCAGATTTTTAATAAAACGTATCTCTAAGGCCATTTTTACAAAAATTGCAGCAGCCCATGGATTGTTAACTGATTTGAAGTAGGTATATTTAAAAAAAATTACGTACGAATCTTGCGTGCTTGTTCTTAGCGGGCTACACTGTATTATAGAGTACTACAGACGAAAGAGTATATTTACAATAGTTGTTGGTCACATTTAATTAATTTTATATTCTAAATAATATTGAGATACAAAATCAATGTCAAGTCTTTACACATACAACAAAAAATTTCAGCATATTGTTTTTAATAAAAAAATTTCATTAGTGCAAATTCAGATGTGATTCTAACAATAATTAAAACAACTGGATCACTCGATTAGTTTTTCAATAACAAATTACGTTGAAAATAAATTTAAATTTAATCGAATACATAAGATTTGTGTCACAGATTTGTCCTGATGGATTAAAATATTTTAATATTTACAGAGCTTACTCTATTTCAAAACGGAGACGGTTATATTCTGCGTTTAAAAGAAACGTAATTTAAATCTTATTAAACTCAGAACTAGGATTTTTTTTACGTATCGAGATTAACATTAAATTGATATTTTTTACACCAAATCTGTTATTAAAATATTCAGAATTTAAGTAAAATGCTTGGAAAAACTCTAATCAAATTTTAATAATGTTCGATATCGAGATACAAAGTAAAAAAATAGTTATTTTTATAATAATCTATAATGGCGCCTTATTTTTGTTCATTCTATTCAGTAGACAGTAAAATCAGTAATTGGAAAAAGAATTTTGTCCCCGTTTTTGTTCACTTCACAAACTGAATAAATACCGAGAAGAAAGAAGAGGAGAAATTTGAGTTATTTTTAACTTACATCATATTGCATCATTTCATTTCAATTTGCAATTTATTACATATTTATTTGCATCGCATAATTTCTGTGAAAAAAGGGCAAGAAGATATAAATCTATTTATTCCCCGATTTTACTTAGTGATTTAAAGTTTTTTTTAGTTATTTCGGTCCACAGAACGCAAATAAATCGAATACACTCTTTATCTGTGTATGACGTACAGGTGTACAGGCCATCAACTTAGGTATAATATCTAAAAAACTAATAAAGCTCAGACATTTTATATATATTAAAGAAACTTTAGAAGCGCATACTTCCTCCCAGCCTGCCTTGATTTTTTAGGGACCAATTATTGAAATATATTACAGGGACTTTTTTATTTAAAATTATGATATATTAAATATTTCAAGTAGTTTTTTATCTGTTCCTTTTCTTTCGTTCCCTGATATCTAATTGGACATTTCTGCCATACTCAAAATAAAAACAAATTTTAAATAAATCACATCTTTAGCTAAATCGATCAGGTAAGAGGCAAATTTTGTAAATTCAGTTTTTTCTAACCACACATATATCAATCTGAGAAGATAGCCGAGTCACTGTTATCATTTACATAGAGAGTAAATGGATATGTTTTCGAAAAGTTAAAATTTCTCTGTGTATAGTCTCAACTACCAATTTGATGTTTTATAGAATCTGAAGGAATTTTTATAAAACACCTTTTATAAAACAAGGTGCATAAATATTTCCAAAACGTTTGTACAACGTTTACAAACGCAAAAAGGGAATATTTTATGACATAATGTGGTTTTTAATTACAAAGATAAAAAGTTAATAAATTATAATTATAAAAATAGTGAGACATTAGGGTATCGCTAGATGCGTATCGAATAAATTGATCGATGCGAAGCTTCATATCAGAGGTAAACATGTACATGTTATTATATAATGACGCGGATAGTGCGGGATTACTAAAATGTGAAGTAGTTGATGCTTCGCTACCATTGTTAAAAATAGTATCAATAGCATATATTAAAAAATGTACTATTTTAGATATGCGGAACAGAAATTATTATTTTGTTAACTTTTGCTGATACTTATTATTACTACACCATGTATATAATATTTTATTGTAAGTTCCACGTGAAGCGATTAGTGTAGAAAAATAAACACTTCCTGTTTTTGTTTCATAGTATTAATCAAATACCAATGAATAAAAATTAAAAGTGATATATTATTAATTGAATATCATACACCTGACAGGTGAATACAATTTTATAAGAGCTATGTTTGCTTCGATTATATAACAGTTGTTTAATAGCTACGACCTAGATCAATTTGGTATGTTAAAAAGTAAATTAAAAAGAATCCTGATAAACCTGTTTCATTAATGCCCGGCCAAACGCTTGAGGCATAGTTCTATAAGAGTTCACAAATTGACCAATAAACGCCAGAAGTTGTTGATATAAATAGGCTTAGTGCACGTCAGAGTCTAACAGAGCCGGCCTGCGGGTCGGTGGCCTTCACAGCTGACTCGCGTTTTGAACTGTTCAGTTATTTACGGAACCTTGTAGTAGTCGATACCTTTTTTTTACGTCTGCTGTAAATTGTATTCGCCTTGGTTATTTAAATAACTATTTATAAATAGTAACATAATTTATATTAACAACTGTCCTAGCAATAAAATGAATGTTAAATTGTATTATGATTTCAAAATGACAGAGAATCTTTATTGTTTGGGGCAAGCAACTACCTACTTCCTCAGTGTGATATTTGTGATTAGGCAAAAATTAATAATTTATAAAATCAACACATTGACATTCTTTTTGCTGAAACATTCTTTATTTAAAATTTCATTTTCCTTCCAGTGGACCAGAAATATCCAGTAGAATAAAAAAGCAACACCATGTTATTCTACATCCTCAAAATATCCCCGTGCAAATATCCATCAAAATATATTTATTTTAAGTTTGTATATACCAAAACAATTTAAAAATGTAACAATTCTCAAAATTTCTTATTTATATTAGTAGTTATAATAAGCTTTATTATGTTCCAGGAGCTTTACATTTCTGGGTAGAATTAGTTTTTATTAATGGAAATAAAATCGCATTACGGCAAACTAAGGGATGTAGAATAATGGCACCGTTAAATTTGAGAAAAAAATTATTAAACACAGTTTGTCTAAAATTTACCCTAAAAAAAATAAAGCAGGCAAAACAATAAAGGTTCGGAGTAAATCCATTGACTGAAATTATTGAGTACATTTTCTCTCAATACTGGGCATTTTGATCATTTTACTCATTTATGATTACTTTCACTCAAATATAGGTACTCCTTATATATTCTTCACGTAAACTCGTATTTGGTGCACTTGTACCTAAATCAGAGTAAATGTCCTCAATACTAAGTGAGTTTAAATGTATGTTAATTTCTAGTAATTTGAATGGCGCCGTGAAGATGGCACCACTTATATATTCCTTCTGTAATCTCGACCACAGTTGATAGGGGCCCATTAGATGCTCCAGAAAAGCGTGATCGCCAGGGGAACAGGTCTCAGCTGGCGGGTCTCAACCAGGACAGAAGGAGGCCTCGCGAAGTGAATTAATTTCACCTCTGTATATCCTAATTAATCATTTATGAGTGAATTATATTTGCACTCAATATTTAGTTAATTAAAAACCAAGTCTGAGTAAAAGTGACTCAATAATAGTTAAATTTAAATCATATTAGAGATAAAGTCAACTCTAAATTAGTTATATATACTTGAGTTTCATTGGTTTTTTAAGTATTAGTTAATAGCCCGCACAAATATATTTCGAGACTGAAGTGATCTAACGAGATTGCCTTTCGGATTGAAAAATGTGCTTCAGTAATTTGGTATATAATATACCTACCATTATACATATATAATATACACTGACTCTGTGATGATGTGATCCTATAATAGACAGCCTTAGTTGTGATTGGTAGGTAAATACTACCTTGTAAATACAAAATATCATATTTAGATAGAAACATAAAATACGTGTAAAATATGTACAGAGTGTTCAATAAATATAATAATCATGAAGAACATTTTTAAAACGGTGAATTCAGCTGGTCATGACTTTAATGCTACCTTTTACTAATATTTTATTAAAAGGAGTAAGTCTTGTCGATAAGAAATCGTTCAAATAACTAGAATTTTCCACAATAGGCCAATCAATAGAGGTTTTGTTTGTGACAAAAATACAAGTGTGAAACGGACTGTGCCATCATATAAAAGACAGTCTGTAGATATATGCTTATATGTTTCCTACTCCAATTTACCAATAATTAATTTTTTATAAACATTTTTATGCAACAAAGTTTTTTTTTTAGTTTTTTGCAGCTCAGGAATGCTTATGTGTTGAATTAAAAATATTATATTATGTTTAGTGGACTGTATTTTTACTATTTTGATTACAATAATGATTATGATAAATTTGTTATGACATATATCAACATTTTTTTTTAGAACTTTTTCTTGACTACCAAATAAAACCTACTTTGATGCCAAACATGACGTAATGTTTAAAATACATAATGAATGCTTGGGCAACAGAAATTTTATTACATTTGCATATATCACCACTTACAATAATATTAAACTATACTATAACTAACAATACTCAAAATTGTAAACCGCCCTTCATCTCCCGACCTGCCCCCACTACTCGACCGCGTACGCGCACTCGGCCGTTTTTGAGCATGTTTGGAGAAATTTTTCACCTATTTCGCATCATCTTATAGGAAAATTAGAATATACCTTTTGTAGTTTATACTTCTACTTTTAAAATCCTGCTGAAAAATTAAAATCGGACCACCTCCAACGCATCCAGAAACTTACACATAACATATATGCATATATCTACAGACTGTCTTTTACATGATGGCACAGTCCGTTTACTACTAGTATTTTTGTCACAAAATCACTGATTTATTGCTCTATTGATTGGCCTGCAATCACGTTAACCTCATTTAACACTCTGTACATCGAAATGAATCTATACCCTAACTAATATTCTTGTTTATTTCTATCATGTCGTTGACAAGATCCGAATAGTTGAACTCCGTCATGTCAGTATCTTTAAGACTAGAATTGCTGATGGTGTTAGCACTATCACAGTTCTCCGTTTCCAGATTAGTTCGAATCACCTCGTTGGTCTTAAAGGCATCACGAAACCCCACGGGTAAAAAACTTAAATATTTACCGTGTTCCCCCGGAGAGGCCTTGCTTTGAGTGGCGTAAGACTTATTCCTTTCGTACATGGAACTGCACCGGGCCTCGTTCGAAAAAAAACTAATACGGGTGTGTTGGGAGCCCTTAGAGCTGCTGGGGTTTTTCGAAGCGAGCACTGGCCGACCCCTCCTGAGCCCTAAAAAATCCCTGTTGACCTGGGTGACGCCGTCGGAGACCGAGCGCTGCATGTTTCTCATGGAGGGGGGTAGCTTTCTGATGGCGGTGTAGTGGCGAATCTTGATCTCGGTGTCGCAGCCGCAGAAGTCAGAAAAAGTATCCTGGAACAAAAAAAAAGTATATAAAGTTCTCCTCGTTAATTGGCTCAAATAAAAGATTTTTTGCAGTTCCATAAGTGTAACTTTGCCTGCGAGATACGGGCTACAAGTACCTAGGGTTAGTATTTATAAATTGTTAGATCATTCTTTGTTTTTCGATCCTCTTCTTGAAAAGGATTGTATTAACAAATAAGTTAAAAAATGTAACTGTATGAGGCTCATATTTCCTTACTGAAAAGAGTTTTGCCTTTTATTACACTTTTATCGACTGTCTAAAATATTAGAATGAGTTGTTTTAACAGAAGTTATAGAAAATTTTAATATATTGTCAGAAGCACAACATGGTTTTCGGAGAATTCATTCTCAGACCGATCGAAATAACTCATTTAGAGGGAAAAAAGAAAATTGTTACCTGGGCTTTTAATAGTGGAAATGGTAAAGGGGTTTATAATAAACGAAAAAAAAATAAATGCGTGAGTAGGGGTGGCAGAGGGTTAATTTGGGAGGTTGAAAAGTTGTGAAAAATTGTATCATTGGGATTTCTGGCGAAAGTTGACGTCAAACAATAAAGTATCCAATACAAAAGTTATCATGCAAAAATTTAACCTCAAAATTTCCGAGGAAAATGCGTAAAACAGGTTTTTTTCTTATTTTTCGTTTTTTATTTCTTATTTCCGCAAAAATAATTTAATTTTGACGATCTTGGTGAAAGTATGCCTACCTTTTTATGTCTTAAATAACTGCAAATTTTTTTAGACAAAAAAGTCAAGAACATTCCAAGATATTCATTTATTCCGGTCTGAAACACTTTTTTTCAGGGAAAAATTCTACTTAGAACAATCATCGCACAGAGTTCTGCCGGTGATTATTTCTTTAGTTTTGACATATATTTTTTGGTGAAATAAAAAATTTGTAATCACTGTTCAAAAACATGTTCAAAAATGCAAAAATAAATAAAAAATAACTACACCATTCCAAAAATTGAAAAAATGATTACACCATTCAATTCTACGGAAAACAATATAAAAAAACCTGTGTGTGATTGTTTGACCCAAAACTTTATTTTTGTACATAAGTCGAATAGTGAATAAATAAAATAAATAATAATTTTTTCCGTAAGATCGATTAGTGTACTTATTTTTTTTAAATTTGATGAATGCATAGATAAACAGTGTGTCCAAGATAAGGATGGGATAGCATTAGGATCTAGGAAACGGTAAGAGATACGTAGTGGCTCAGGTTAGAAAAAAGCTGTATTTTTTTATACCTAACAATACGCCGAGATATCCGGAAAAACTTGAAATTTGGCAAAATTGTTTAATTTTTTTTCTGGATGTCTAAAAATGAATTTTAAAGTAAATTGCATATTTATAATTCCACTTTTTTCGCTCTGTACAATGCCGTCAACATTTTTGCAATCCTACGTTTCATCTTCAGGTTAATTTTTTTTAAATATGCCGTTGCTATTTTTATGACCAAATCTAAAGTCATTGTTTTAGCTATCACTTAAAATTTTTCCTGAGCGCTTTCAAAATGTCTATTGGATGGAGTCATAACAGTATGAGTATAAGTCAATACCGCACAAAATATACAACATTCATAAATTCGTATTATTTTTTATTAGGTACTACTTTCTAAATTATTGATTAAAAAAAATTTGATATTTTATTGACTTTTACCCACGACCACTACTGTAAATACTTAAAAACACACCGTCTGCGATCAATGTAAGATTCCTATTTCGTACGGTAAAAAAATCGCACAGTTTTCCTAGAAACCGCCTAGCAACGGCCAATACAATACTGTTTTTATTGACCGTTGCTAGGCGGTTGCTAGGAAAACTGTACGATTTTTTTACCAAGCTGTGCGTTTTTTTTACTGTACGACGTAATAGGAATCTTGCATTGATCGCAGACGGTGTGTTTTTAAGTATTTAAAGTAGTGGTTGTAGGTAAAGTATAGTACGTAATACGTGGTGTAATGCAATTACGCACTTATAGAATTACGCACTCGCCGCTACGCGGCGTCGTGCGTAACTTTTCCATTAGTGCGTAAATTGCGTTTTACAACACTTATTACGTAATATACTATTATACTGTTATGACTTCCTCCAATAAAATGACTTTAGATTTTGTCATAAAAATAGCAGCGACGTATTTAAAAAAATTTACCTGATGATGGCCCCTCGAAGACGAAACGTCGGATTGCAAAAATGTTGTCGCCATTGGATAGAGCGAAAAAAGTGGCAATGTAAATATGCAATTTATTTTAAAATTCATTTTCAAATAAAGCCAGGAAAAAAATAAAACGATTTTGTAAAATTTCGGGTTTTCGGGTTTGGCGTCAACAGTAGACTTTGCAGTTAATACTTTGTATTGCTGAAATCTCAAATCATCCAGAGATAATTTATCATTTGAGCATTTGTAATTCGACTTAGATGTTTTCGACTATACAAAAATAAAGTTTTGGGTCAAACAATGAGACACAGTTTTTTTTGTATTGTTTTCTGTAGAATTGAATGGTGTAATCAGTTTTTGGAATTTTTTTAAATTTAAACAAATTATCAACAATTACTGAAAAATTCATTTTTGCACGTCATTTTAAATTTTTTTGCAAATTTCAGCATATTTTTGAACTGTGATTACAGATTTTATTATTTCACCAAAAAGTATGTTAAAAACGAAAAAAAATATCACGGGCTGAACTCTGTACGATGATTTTCCTAAGCAGAATTTTTCTTTGGAAAAAAAGTGTTTCAGACCGGAAAAATGAATATCTCGGAAACTTCTTGATTTTTTTATCTAAATAAAATTGTGGTTATTTAAGACACAGAAAGATATACTTTCATCAAGTTTCGTCAAAATGATGTTCTTTTTGCGGAAATGAGAAACAAAAACGAAAAATCAGAAAAAAACTTGTTTTTCGCATTTTTCTCGGAAATTTTGAAGTAACCTCTATAAAAGTTGTAAATTTTTGCATGATCTACAACTTTTGCATTGGATACTTTTCGGATATGGATTGGATACGTCAACTTTCGCCAGACAATTTTTCACAACTTTTCAACCCCCCAAAATCAACCCTCCGCCACCCCTGCGCACGCATTTATTTTTTTAGGTTTATTATAAGCCCTTTTAGCATTTCTACTCATAAAAGTCCAGGTAACAATTTTTTTTCCTCCATTTGTAATGTGGTTGGACTATCTACTCAACTGCAATCATGTCCTTTATAGAAAAATTATGTATATGAAAATCTCAATAAAAATTAAAAGTGTGTTGGCTTGTTCATGGATTTAAGTAAAGCATTCGATTTAATTGATCATGAAATTTTAGTTCAAAACTTGAAAAATATGGATTGCGTGGAAAAGTTAAAAGCTGGTTAATATCTTCTCTCAGTGACAGATCACAGGTAGTTGCAGTAAATGGATCAATTTCAGAAGTAAATATAAAACTTTAGGTACCTCAAGGTTCCATACTTGGTCCGTTCCTTTTTTTAATTTATATTAATGATTTGTCAACCCACTCTACTAATAACCTAATAATGTTTGCTGATGATTAATCATAGTTGTGTTGTGGAAATAATCACATAGATGCTTTATCCCTTTTACAAAAAGAAATCACAAAATATGGTGAATACTTCAAATTAAAGAAAGAATATCAAAAAGAATTATTAAAATACAAAAGTGAGCTATTCGAAATATATTAGCAATGTCCAGTTTTTGAGCATCAAGCCCACGACTACCAATTGCATTTATGCAAAACGGTCATGGAAGATTTCGATAAAAGCTTACCTACCTACCCGAAATATCATTAGAGTGGACAAAATCTTTTTTGTAATCATAAGCAATATGTTAACTTAGTACACTTAGATGATATTGGGGGACCCTCAAGGCTCTGTACTAGGACCAGTTATCTTTTTTGTTTTACACAAATGACCTACGAGCCCAGGCTCATAATAGTTCGGCCGGTAATAATTTGTAACTATATTTTTGAAGATAATATTAAACTTAAAACAAAGGTGCAAAATTTAATCAAAACTATTACAACTATATTCAAAACTATACTTTTAAGTAGCTGAAACTGAAAATTATAATTAAATTACGTAAAGAAACAAATCAGTATAACAAAAAATGTATTTCACGTGGTAGGTCATAATAGTTCGGCCGCTTATCGTAATTGCCATGAAATCGAGCTGACTAGTTAAAACAAAGCAATTATGAAATATATCAACAAGACAGCTGTCAGTATTAGTTTCAAATCATATTTAAAGCATAATGCCTCGTGGTAAGCCCTTAAGTAAAGATTTTCGTTTGTCCATCATTAATGCCCATAAGAAAGGTATTTCGGCACGTCGAATTTCAGTTTCTCATTCTGTGCCGCGTTCTACCGTTCAAGACATTATCAATTTATATAAAACTACTAATGGAGTTGATCAAAAAATTAAAACCGGCCGACCATCTACAATTACAGAAGCAAATAAAAGAGCTTTACGGAGAATTGTGAAAACAAATCGGAGATCTAACACTAAAGAGATAACTGTTTTATGGAGAGAAAGTATAGCCAAGGATATTTCGTTGTCTACAACTAAAAGGACTATTAGAAAAATAGGATACAAATTTTATAAGGTAAAATTTATTCGTTTTTTTTTTGGTGAAACTGTTGGCATCCAATTTTTTTTTAACAGGCAAAAGAAAAGCCACTACTGACAACTTTACAAAAACGCAACAGACTAAAGTGGGCTCGGGAACATCAGAACTGGACTCAAAGACAGTGGTACAATATAATTTGGAGTGATGAGTCCAAGTTTGATGTTTGTGTGGGCGACTCCCGTAAAAGGGTGTTACGAACATCCAGCGAAGCATTCCATAATGACTGTCTAGTAAAAAATGTAAAGTTCCCAGCATCAGTCATGATATGGGGTTGTATGTCTGCAAAAGGAGTGGGCAAATTACACTTCATCGATGGAATTGTTAACGCCCAAAAATATAAGGAGATATTGGAAGCAAGTTTTTTACCATCTATCGCGCAATGTGCAGCCGATGACGGTGACTTCATGTTCCAACAGGATGGTGCACCTTGTCATACTGCGAAAACTGTGAAGACGTGGTTTCAAGAACATAACATTCCTGTTCTAAAATGGACGTCTTCTAGTCCAGATTTGTCTCCAATCGAGACACTTTGGCACAACATGAAGAAGCAACTTCGAAAAAATCCAGCGCGGACAGTACCCGAATTAAAAGCTACTTTGCAAAATGTATGGAATAATATTCCACCAGAAGAGTGTGCACGACTTGTGGATACAATGCCCAGTAGAATTAAGGCGGTTATTGCTAATAAAGGCGACGTAACGCAATATTAGGTTTTGGCCGAACTATTATGACCCACCACGTGAAATACATTTTTGGTTATACTGATTTGTTTCTTTACGTAATTTAATTATAATTTTCAGTTTCAGCTACTTAAAAGTATAGTTTAGAATATAGTTGTAATAGTTTTGATTAAATTTTGCACCTTTGTTTTAAGTTTAATATTATCTTCAAAAATATAGTTTCAAATTATTACCGGCCGAACTATTATGAGCCTGGGCTCGTAGATTCGCTTTCTACTGACCGAAGTTTATTATGTATGCGGATGATTACTCATTATTGATTCCAGACATAACAATCAAACAGTTGGAACGTAAATGTTATAAACAGCTGTTAAATGACTGGTATAGATCTAATGATCTTTATTTTAATACAGAAACACAAATGTTATAAGATTTCATAACAAACAAATATTTTAAAGCCTTAAGCATAGTCAAAAATGACTCCAACACATTATTATTTTTCCAAAAAATATTGGGCGCCGCAATTGACCAGAATCTCTACTGTGTTCAGTAGGTTAAAAATTAATTTCTATATGTATTTAATAAGGAATTTACGAACATTTCTGTCACATGAGTACCTGATTTATGATTTATCATGCACAGGTATCATCAAGATTGAGATATGGCATATGCTCTTGGGAACTGACTGCTCACGCAATGGATGAGTTCATGGTACGAAAATTAATTATCAGATGTATTCCTGGTACATCTAAGAACTATTCGTACCTAGAATGACCGACAACTTTGCATTAAGTAGAATTTTAATACAATTTTAAGGTATGCTGTTTAATAAACAATAAAATCGCCCCCTTCAATAATAATGTATCTTCTTTCATTTGATATTACAAGCAAATTCAAGTTCATAGCCGTAATCTCAATATTACGAGGCGAAAATCGTTTTCCGAAATACAAAGTATAGAACTGTTTATTTTTAAATGAGGATGAAATATAAAGTGTATTTTTCCAACAGCTTTATGATAAACAGAATGAACTTGCAAATATTTTAAGTCTTCGTTAAATTATTGGTTCTACAAAAACAAATTCTTAAAAATTTTCATTAGGGACATATCAAATAAAGCACCAATAATTAAAAAGTTAATGCTACTTATAATTTTATATAAACATGTGTTAACATTTTATTAAGTTCAATATTAATACTATCGTCATTAAAATAGGAAGGCATATTCCAGTTTTTTTAAAAGTTTACGGTACAGGATGTTTAAGAAAACTATCTCCGTTGACAATAAACAAAAAACATTCAGTAATTACGATGTAAAAATTGAGATAAGCTATAAATAGTTGTTACAAGCTTATTGGCTACCCATTTAAATCAAATTTTCAGATATATTTTTGATAGCGACGAAAAGTAAGTACTACTGATAATAACAATAACAAATAGACAGACTTTCTGTACCTACCTTAAATGCTTTGCGGAACTTCCTGGACATGATGTGGTACAGGAGCGGATTGATGGTAGTGGAAACGAAATACAGCACCCCAGAAGTGTGCATCAAATACAGATAGAAGTTGAAAAAGGCCTGCTGAGCCTCCATTGATGCTCCCGCCAAATAAACAGCCAGCAGTCTTTGAGCGTGAAACGGCGCCCAACAGATAAAAAATGCCGCTACGACAGCAACTGAAAATAAGTTAAGTTGATCTTGAACTAAGTTCAATAGATTGTAACGTGGACTACGCTGAATTTATACAGGGTGTTCTACATACTCTATGACAAACTTTGACAGAATAAATGCATTTTTTTATTTAGTACTTTAACGCTAAGTATCAAATGAATAAACAAAATGACACAAACAGTAATTATTGTTATAGCAACCATCATTTTTATTTAGGTATCAGTCTACTTTGATTGAAATACGAAATTATATTTTTTTAAAATGCTTCCAATGTTCATATAAGTTAAAATTTTTGAAATTATTCCAGCCACCTATGTCAAAGATTGTCATAGAGTTCGCAGAACACCTTGTATAATAGACGTATATTTGGGAATTTGTTGCATCTTTCATTAAATCAACGGCTGTATTTATTATTTATTTCAAATCTGGTGTTGATAAATTGGCTTTACTAATTTTAACTCATTATATTGTTATCGTATAGCTGGTATGCTATGGTAGCTATGGTATAGCTGGACATATAACTAATAAATGTGGAATTTAAGTCCCACTTTAACATAAATCCAGTTATATATCTGATAAATAAGATAAATTATAATAGTGACGCTATTACTGCAACTTTTTAGTTTGAAAAACCATTCGTTATTTAAATAATCTATTGTAGAAACAAATTAATAAAAAATTCGCCTTGAACTGAATTTCGATTGTTTACGGTAAAGAAGAAAATCACCTCTGAAGTCACTGATTTGAAAATAATTGTTATACAGTAGCGAAAATTTATTTTATTTAAAACATATGGTATCGAATTTAAGATCTCTGATAGGAATATCTTTTACATACATATTAAGTTAAATGTATTTTATATCCTACGTTTTCAGGCAAAACAGTATAAGGCACATGCAGAATGTTTCTGAATTGTCTGAAGAAAATTCGCGGGTGTACCTTAGGCATATTTTGAGTAAAATTGTTCCTATAAGCGGATCTGGAGCACGCCTAATGATATCGAATTTCAATAAAGTACAAATTTATAAGGATGTATCCATGATTCTACACAGAGGCTCCAATAAATTTTTTAAAAAAGTTTTTTTACTTTCTAAAAATTTGTAAAGAATATTGAATACATTTTTTAATTACTCATTCAATCTCCAGAAAAACTACATTCTGCCTTTTGAATAGAAACAGAAAATCGAGAAATTAGAAGAAGCAAGTGACTTTCCGTTACCGTTTTTCTAGGTTCAGTATTCGCTAATAATTGTGGAGTACTGGTGTGTTCTTGACTATTTCTAGACGAATAAGGACCTTATCTTGCTGACTAGATAGAAAATTTAAAAGTTTGTTATTTTCTACTCTCCTTTCGCCAATATGACGCCACACATTGCCGTCTTATTAGATTTTCAAAATATGCTGTGCGCATAAGAAAGTGTATGACATAAAGAAGAGTTTGAGCCCTCATACATTTTTATTTTGCTTCAATTTTTGAACACAGGGGAGTAAATGGGACGAGGAACATCTCATATACAGGGTGAGTCATTAATAATGGTACACAGCTCAATGGCAGATTGTTAACGTCAAAATATAGCGATTGAGCCAAATATGCCTTAATCAATTGTTGCTCTTTTTCGTCCTACAGGGTGTTAAAGTTGAACAAATATTTTCGATTTTTTGCTATATTTTAAGTATGTATGAATCGATTGTTTTAAAAATTTGCAGTTTTACGTTTTTTGAGGTGGCAAATACGAATATGCAAATAGTGTTGCGGTCACGTCTAGGGGGCGCTAGTTGTACTATCAATGTAAAAATATGTCTAACTTTTTATATTTTACAATTTTGAATTTTTTAACCAGAAATTGTTGAACTACGTTCAATTCTAAATAAAAAAGGTACACTTGTTACAAATCGATAAACTCAACTGTTTTCGAGATACAGACATTTTCAGTTTTTGAGATTCGTCGGAAATGAGATTAGAAAATTATTTTTTCCAAAGTAGTTGGCATGGACATAATAAGTTAACAGCTGTCACTACAATACCATATTGTTTTCTACTCAGTTTAATTAGGAAGTAGTTTTTCCGTGTCGTTATTTTTTAGAGAAGAGAATATCTTAATAGAAATTTTCCGCATTATTGGATTGGACGCGGTAGCGAAGTACCTTGGCCTGCACGTAGCCCTGTTTTAAATCCGCTGGATTTTTACTTGGTATCTTAAGACCTGCTAATTTTCTAATTTCATTCCCGCCGAAACTCAAAAACTTAAAACGTCTGTATTTGTAACTAATACATCTTTTTTATTTAGAATTGAACATAGTTCAATAATTTGTAGCTAAAAAATTCAAAATTGTAAAGTACAAAAAGTTAGACAGATTTTTACATTGATAGGACAGTATAACTAGCGCCCTCTAGACGTTACCCTAACACTGTTTGCATATTCGTACTTGCCTCCTCAAAAAACGTAAAACTATAAATTTTCAAAACAATCAGTCCATGCATACTTAAAATATAGATAAAAAAAGAAAATATTTTTTCAACTTTAACACCATGTAGAACGAAAAGGAGCAACAATTGATTAAGATATGTTTGGCTCAATCACTATATTTTGACGTTAACAATCTGTACAGATACAGATCTGTACACCCTGTATAATAAACACTTTTCGGAAATTGGATCATATTTCGTAGACGCAATTTAATTCCTTGTTATACAGGGTCGGAAAGTCCCCATGGTTCATTGGCCGTTACGTGAAAGCGATAAAGTAAGTCATAGAAATCCGTGCGATAGAGAAAGATGGCTATAATGATCTTATTTGTGGAAGGGCGAAATGGGCGGTGACTATTAGATGCCTTCATTATAGCCATTTTTCTCTATTTTCTATGACTTTCTTTATCGCTCTCACGTAATGGCCGATGAACCATGAGGACTTTCCGGCCTTGTATAATATACTGATGATAGGTTAATTGCCTGGTGCTTTAATTCCACTAAGCCTAACTGATAGTTAATTCCTGCACATTGAATTTGTATTTGTCTACTAATTAACAAAGTCAGATAATTTATTACAGGTTAATTTATTTTTATATGCAATTTCATTGCGACATTTATCAGTCTAAAACATCTGGGTATGTACCCGCATTGCAAATATTATTACCACACTTGCCAAGGATATCATTAATAGTAGGTAAGTGAACTGGTTATGCTCTCGTCAGTGTACTTGTATCACTTCCATGTAGGTTATTTATATGCATATTCACCTTAAATACCTGCAGACAGATGCATTTACAACGAGGTTCTTATTTTCTAATTGCATAGAAATATTTTAAAATGCAGTAAAAATTTATTTTCTAAATATTTAATAAAGATTTAAACGCACTTCGTAATTAACTTAACTACACCCATAGCTTCAAAATTTAAAGAACCTAAACAGTTATTCAATCAATTCCAAGTTGCTACATTGCAGTATGTGCTACATCTTCAACGGAAATTAATAGAAGAACCAGAACATGTACATCGTGTACATGATATTTTGGATGTTTTTACATGATAGTTTACAATTTTTAATATATTGTGTTGCAAATAATGTTTAATTGTTTAATTTAAACCAACGCCTGTGAACACATACGAATTTAATTTGTTAAAAACATCGTATTTCAACGCTTCTGCTAGATAAGAAAGCCGTATGTGGTCACATGCGGCGTTTGTACTATGTACCTCTTAAGGACGGAAACTGACGCATCCCTGGTTGCCTACATTATACCGAAAAGTAGTAGAAAACAGCCCTTTTTTATTCCAATATAACTTTTTAAAGCAATGGAAGAAAGGAATAGAGGAAAGGATTTCATATCACATTTGGCAAAGTATAAACGAAGACAGTAAAGCAAAAATTAATTGGGTTAGGTAGATAATTCGTGAGAAATTAATTTCTAAATATAAAGGTTTTTTGGACTTTTACAAACAAACGATTATTTCTTCATAGTATTATAGAATTATGTAATCTTTTATATAGTTGTCTTTTAATAAATAAACTAATTAGACTTTATTTCATAGTTTGTTTAACACTTTATTATTTAAAGTTATATTGGAATAAAATTATTAAAAATTATTCATTTATAAGTCACATTATATCTGACCTTTAATTCGCTTGATTTGTAATAGATGCCGCACTAGTAAAAATTAATTTTTGAATGGACTCGGGTTATTTTTAACGAACAGCTGTTGTATTGTGGTCAATTTGGTATAACCTGATTCTGAATTGGTAGTCATGGTTTCTGTTAATTGATACGTAAATATTTAAAGAATGTCATGATCATTTTAGATATATTTTTGTATAAAAGTATATAAGTAACAGTGCAAGTCCATACTATTATATAATTTTAGAAAATATGAAATATAAACAATTTTTAGTTTATTTAAAACCATAATTTATAATTAATATACCTATATTAGTATCTACGGTTAGTGGATAAGAGGGAAAACATTTTTATTTTCTATTCTACTAGAAAAAGTAATTCGTGACAAAAAATATTTTGCTTTTTAATTGAATATGTTTGTCATGAAAAACTGTAATTTATATATATACAGGGTGATCAGAAATTTAACAAAATTAATAACGTTGAAGAATAAACTGCTTTTGTTTTTGATAATATAAAAAAATGTTAATAAGAAAAGTTGTTCATAACGGAAAGTTATGTTATAATTACGATTTGTGAATAAAGCGGCTTACTTTGGTATAAACAGAAATGGAAAATATTATATTTTTAATAATTAATATTAAGTAATCCTTGATAACAAAAATTCGCGTGTTGTTAATATAAATAGAATTTTAACTGTGAATTATGTCCAAAAATTGTGTAAAGAATTATGTACAAAAGGACAATTTGAGACTAAATTTTTTTTATGAGTATTATTCAGTTCACTTCACTTGAAAAAATAGTTATAGGTACTTTAATACCTCCAATATAAACAGAAATTCTGTGGAACAGTGTAGTAATAAATATGTAAATAAACGTAAGTAATAAAGAA